CAAAATGATCCGGGCCGTGGTTAATCCAGCATACCGAGGTGGCCCGTGGTACCCTTGCCCACCTGTGCGTCAGGTGGTATGCGAGCGTGCGTACATCAGGGGTACCAGGCGGTTGGGGAGGGAGTGAGCCTGGACCCAGCTGTCGCTCAGTCGTGCGTTCCGCATTTTCTTGCCTCTTAAAATCGTTAGCGATGCGTTCTGGGTTATGTTTTCGCTAGCTGGAAGTATGTGTAGGTTGGTACAAGTGTCGTCATGCATACACATACGGGCTGCGGTGTAGGTAAGGTACGCAAGGTTGACCAGACCACACATTAGAAGGTGAAGGGACGACGACGATGTTTCGGTCCGTCCTGGACCATTCTCAAGTCGATAGGGAAGTTTTATAATTACGCAATTAAGAGGTTGGGTGAGTAGGTGAGAGATAGCAAGGTGGTTTGTTTGTCGACGGCCCTCATTTGTCCACTTGGGTTGATGTAGGATACCTGAGCGGGTATGTCTGCATGTTTGATTACATCCACATGGCGTCTCGGTCTCCCCCCTTCCCCCAAGTGATCAGAGAGTACCCCGTCAACCCCCTCCAACCGTACCCCATGCCCAACACCGGGCAGGACCACCGGCCGCCACACGTGTGCTCGTCAGATGGCGGGCGTCGGCGCCCCAGACACACGCCAGACCTACCTGCCTCGACGCCCTGTGCTCGTGTCTGAAGGTAACCCGTGATGCCCTACTAGTCACCCCACTCATTATCCTGTGCGCGCCATCTGTCTCTCGGGTGTACAGTCTGTCGGTCACCACTCATTTTTATGTCTTTGTAATAGCTTCAACGTGTAGCTGGTACGGCAGTCGCCTTACGATTATTGTAAGCGACGCTAGGCTATAATGTCCAGCCGTGCTGATTTGGTAAGGTGCCCCTGTGCCCGACACTAAAGATACCCACGCTAGCCCGTGTGTGTGCTTCATTTATTGCTAAGTTACTCGTGTCTGCCACGGGGGTCGTTGTTCCATCTGTTGGTGTGGGCCCGTTAGTCATTGAACAACAATGGAGAAAATTGTACCGTGACTGTCGATAACCAGTAAACAGTCACGGTCACCTTACAGTTAACTTGTTCCTTACTAGTGTGGCGTCCGTTATGGCAAAGAGGGAGAGGCTCCGTTGAGCAGGTGAGGCCGTGGTGGTGGTGAGCAGTGAGAGTACTGGGTAACCACTGGCCTACACACACCTCCGCCCTCACCGCACGCCCGACCTAGTCACGTTCTCACCACCAACCAACACAGGCTCGCCCGCGCTCCCTTAACGCTGAAAAGCGCGCGATCGCTAATTAGTATTGTGTTCTATGGGTAGTTTGTGCTGCACGTGGTGTTTTTTTTGGGGGGGTCGTGGGGGCCGCGAATTTAGGACCCAAGTTTACATAGAGCAAAATAATCCTCGCTGGTGTATGTGCTTTGGGTTAGTGTGTGTCATTTGCAGTGAAACACGGGTTGGGGGAGAGGTGGGAGGGGGGGGGGTGCACTAATAGTGTGGCGATTCCTGTGCCAGCCACCAAGACCCCAGCCCCCCTCCCCCCCCTTCCTCCCCACATCAATGGCAACATCAACTTCCTCCACATCACTCCAGGCGTTCTGCTCCAGTTAAACATTTCTTTTTCGACACGGCCCGGTGTGAGGTTTTAAGAGGAGAAGGAGGGGGGCGGGGGGGGGGGGGGGATTTGAGATGTATTTTGTATACAACACCGCGCTTCGTGGGAAGGGGTGTTAGGGGGGAGGGGGAGAGCACGGCCCGGTCAATGGGAACTGTGGTCCTCTGGGCCCTCATTGGGCCCACCTGCCCGGGGCCCATCGTGGTGATGACATCTCCCTGGCTTTCCCTGACCCTGGCATCATACCTCTACCCATCATCCTTTCATCTCCACCCTTCCCTCTATCATTGTCACGCCCCCCCCCCCTCCTCCCTCCCCCCCCCCCATCCTTGTCACGCCGATCCCGTCTTCCTAGTTGGCCCGGCCTCATAGTCACCCCAGTTCCCCCCCCCCCCCCCTCCGTCGCCTTTGTCACCCTTGCCCCCCCTCTATATAGGAGGAGTGTTTCAGGTTTTCATGAAGTTGTTCTGAAGTAACTAAGTGTGGCGGCCATATTAGCAGCTCGGGTGCAGTTTCAGCCTTCCCGGGCGACTAATTTTAACGCAAGAGGCTTTCAGTACCAAGTCTTGCTTTGGGTGTGGTCCTATGTGTGCTCTTTGTTGTTGGTTGGTGGAAACGGAGGTGCCAGGAGTCGCGCACCCCAGAGAGAAAAGTGTGTGTGGGGGAGGGGGGGGGAGTGTTTGGAGAAGGGTTGAAGGAGAGGGAGTGAATCTAGGAAGTGATGTGGTGGAGGCTGACTCCATACACAGTTTCAAGTGTAGGTATGATAGAGCCCAGTAGGCTCAGGAACCTGTACACCAGTTGATTGACAGTTGAGAGGCGGGACCAAAGAGCCAGAGCTCAACCCCCGCAAGCACAATTAGGTGAGTAGAGGGATAGCGAAATATCACTTATCTTGCCTAATGACAGCTTGTCGAAGCGCCTACAGCCGTCTTATCGAGCTGAGAAACTCAATGTCTGAGGTCTGTGTGTTAGCGCTCGTCCAAAAATATTCGTTTGGCTATGTTCTATCACGTAGGGAAAGCTCGTGCGTGGGCTGCCAATTCGAGAGCTTTGGCCTCGAAACTTTTGTGAAAATGCAATGTTTCGTCTGTGTGTGTGTGGGGGGGGGGAGGGAGGGTTGTCAGAATTGAACAAGCAGAATAATGCAATGACGATGGGCAATGTGTGTGTGGTGCGCGCGCTTACCTGTTTGAGGTCACCTGTTTGTGTTTGCAGAGACCTCGCTTTAGGTTCTGGGCCGTGATCGTAGGTATCAGCGGTGAAGGGTGGGTGGGGCCGTCTTCGTCCGTCTGGCCAGGCACGCGCCGCCACCGACAAAAAGGCCCCGACGATGTCGCACTTGTCGGATTGTGGTGCCTGGGGGCATTCCGGAGCGTCCCAGTAGACTTGGCCGCCCCACCTCTTAGAGTTTAGGCAGCGAGCACACACGATAGTGCCCAGACTCCCCCGCGCTAGGTGGTGGCAGGGGGGGCCACGGTGCCAGGCATGGAGGCTGCCAGCTGTACTCCGCCACAAGCTCCACCCATCCACTGGCACTTCCGCCCATGTTTTGCACTACTGTTTTCCCACCCGAGGAATTAGATGAGAGATGGAGGAGGCTCAGGGTCAGGTCAGGGTTGGGCTAGCTGAAGGAGGTCTTGCCCCGCCTCGCTACACCTCGTGACCCGGCCACTCTCGACCACTAACTGCATTCGCGTTTATTTCTGGCTGTGACGCGTGTTTTGTAGTCTAGCGTCTGTGAACATTGCATCAGCTCCTTCTGATGGCTTTTACCATCATCCGCGATCCTGCCTCTCTGGCCACCGCCAGAAACTCGGGGACACAGGTTAACGGAAAGACTGGTAAAAATGGGCTGAAATTGTGGCGTTGGTGACGCGGCGCGCGGCTTGGCAAGGGCTTCTCTTTCTGCATGACATCAGCGGGTTCGGTGGCGCCATCGGGGGTAAGGCAGGTATGCCGGCCGCCCTCCGTGCTCTCACGGCACGCGTTCGGTTCTCCATTTAGTATAACACGTGTATGCGTCTTGTTCGTTAGTGTGATGGTAACGCTCGTCCAGGTGGTCTTCGTTGATGGAGCAGCTGGAGGGTCTCGAGTATTAGAGAAGGAGAGGAGCTCAAGAACATAAGAATAAAGACATCTGCACAATGCCTGTTGGCCTATACGTAGCAGCTCCTATTCATATTCGCCCAAACTCATTCCTATACATGTCTAACCTACGCTTGAAACAATCAAGAGATAAAAAAAAGGTGTTATATTATTAACGCTTCGAAAAATAAATCCATCTTTCAAACACTTGTACATTGATTTTTTTTACTTTAAATTCTTATTAATCATAACTCCGAGATCCCTTCCGCAATCCGACCGCAATCTCAACACTATCTTGCTCGTATTATGTAACTCTATCATCATTACCTTGCCTCAAATCCTTACATTTGTCAGCATTAAGTTGCATCTGCCAGTCTTAATGCGCACGATATTATCTCGATGAAGGATCAAGACCCAACCACACACCAGAAGATGAGGAGACCACGACGTTTCGGTCCATCTTGGACCATTAAGTATTGTGACCCGGTCTCCACGGGTCACAATCAAGACAGTCGACTTGATAATGGTCCAAGATGGACCGAAACGTCGTCGTCGTCTCCTCGTCTTCTAGTGTGTGGTTTGGTGTTCATATCTTCAGCCACGTTATTGTGACCCATCGTCTTGATAAAGTATTGCAAAACGTCAAGTTATTCTTAAAAGGTGGAGGTGGCGAAAAGGTGGTCGATAGGTGGAGCTAGCGAGAGGCTTAGCCAGTTTGGCATTGTTTGTGGTAGGTGGAAGGGGTGGGTGTGTGGGTGTGTGTGTGTGTGTGTGTGTGTGTGTGTGTGTGTGTGTGTGTGTGTGTGTGTGTGTGTGTGTGTGTGTGTGTGTGTGTGTGTGTGTGTGTGTGTGTGTGTCCCCGTCTCCCCCGCGCACGTGGACAAGCCGCGTCCAAACCCGAACCGGTGTGTCTGCCAGGAATCTAATGCACGTAGATTTATAAACGTTTATATTTGCTCCGGATATAAACAACGGATGATTTATTTCTTAGACTGTTTCCAAGGAAGATTAGACGTAAAAAGTGAGCGAGTTCGGGGTGGAAATAAATAGCTGCTTCGTATGGGTCAATAGGCCTCTTCCTAGTTTCCTTTATTGTCACCTTTTGGTTCTTTAAGTAAGAAAGATGTAGTAGATGTGAGCAATAGAAACATGAGAGTTATGCACTGTGATTTGTACTCCCGTTGAAGGACCTGAAGTAGAGGAGGGTAGAAATAGCCTAAGCTACTCTATTGAATTGCAAATATATTGTATACGCTTCGTTTTCTGTTGTTGCAGTTGGGGGTGTTCGGGTACTATACGGTGACGACGGGAGAGATGAATGTGGCGGGACCCGTGGCTGTGGACTCTATCTTCATCTACAGACCGGACAAGCGCCAACACGTCTGGAGATTCATCTTCTACGCCTTCCTTCACGCTGGGTAAGTTCCTCCTCCAACACCTCGGCCCCCGCCACCAAGTTTTTTTCCCCTCCTTAGATATTTTGAATTTGCAGTATTTTGTGAATTTTTATTAACTAAATGTAACAAATAGTGATTTAGTCTTGGTTAATATGTATATGGGCAAAAAATTGTTACCCGGTAATCTGTGTTACATTAATCAATAATTTAACCCAAGTCAGTATTTACTTAGAATTTTGTTAAATTTGAGATGATGACGCTGTTTTTTTTTCCTTCTGTACAGATGGGTACACTTAGCGTTCAACCTGTTGGTGCAGCTGCTGGTGGGCCTGCCACTGGAGATGGTACACGGGTCGGCTCGTATAGGCACCGTGTACCTTGCTGGGGTGCTGGCCGGGTCCCTGGGCACCTCGGTCTTCGACGCCGACGTGTACCTGGTGGGCGCGTCCGGGGGCGTGTACGCCCTCCTCGCCGCGCACCTGGCCAATGTGTTAATAAACTATAATAATATGCAGTTTGGCATCCTACGACTCGTCGGCGTTTTCTTTGTCGGTAAGTGACACTTTTGCGAGAGGCGGCGATCTCGTATTAACATGTTAGTTACATAGAACCCTTGTACGGTTTCTAGTCTATTTTTTGTATAGTCTTGCAAATAGTTTTCATTTGCTTTCCTATTTCAGTCAATTTCTTTCAAGTAACTGTCATGAATGTATAGATGATATACATGTTATGTATATATGTTAAATATATACATGTTATATATTTTTACGTTTGTGTATGTTCTAAATGTCTAAATATTGTGTAAACAGTGTTAGTCATAAGGTTTTGCGTTCCCTCCTTACATAGAATACGAACACCCCCCCCCTCTGACTTGCACTCAAAAGCTACATACATGTATATGATTGAGAATCGACATTTTTTGCTATTGGTAGATGGTGTAATTAGAGAGACCTTGACTAACCACTGTCTGTCTGTCTCCCGCAGCGAGCGCTGATGTGGGGTTCGCTATCTACGACCGGTACGCCCACGAGACGGTGGGGCTACCTGTATCCTACGTGGCTCACCTTACTGGAGCGTTAGCGGGGCTTACACTAGGCTTAGTAGTACTTAAGAACTTCGAGCAGCGCCTCCACGAGCAGCTCCTGTGGTGGGTGGCCCTTGGGGTCTACGCGGCGTGTACGCTCTTCGCCATGCTGTTTAACTTGTTCCACCCTTACCCGTACGAAGGCGTCGCCCAGGGCCTGCTCCTGTAGGCGGAGCCCAGGACTTGCTCCTGTATGATGTTCCTCAGGGCCTCCTGCTCCTGTAAGCGTCCCACAGCGCCTGCGCCTGTAGGCGTCGCCTAAGGATAGATTCTCTAGGCGATCGTCGAGGGGTGAGGTGGTGGTCCTAGGATGAAGCTGTTCCGAGGGTGCTGGGTTGGACGCCGTTCTTCAGAACCCGCTGTGCTATTACGACATCTCCGCCGATAAGGAGATATTGAAGTATTATAGGTCTCGAAGGTTCGTAAACGTGAAGTTGGGCTCCAACCCCCGCTAACCCCCATTTATGGTGCTGTGCCTCAAGCCAAAGTTAGTCCGCTCATACTGGTGAAACTGACTTAGTGTAAGGACTCTTTAAATCAAAGGTACTGAGCCTACCTTTTTAACTCAGAGAGAAAAAAAACAAAACAAGAGAGATTGTTATTTATTAGTGTCATAGATCTGCTTGTACAGTTTTACATTAATTATATTCCAAGCTTGTTTATATATATATTATACCTAGTCAAACGAACATTTCCAAAGGATTTTTTCTTCTCTACCTCTAATCTTATTACGGCCGGCTGATGTTAGAGTCCGGCCACTGCTCTAGTCTCGGAATTCCCGGGGGAGGTGAAAGCATATATTGAAGAGGAAGTTACCGCTTCCTTCCAAGGTTATAATAGTCTCGAGTCATTCTTAAAAAACATCGCTGGCTAGCCGAGCGGGGAAAGGGATCGAATCCCCTGGCGTCTCGTTTTCCCTTGCCTATTCCACTGACCTGAACACAGGCTGTCACCGCCTCTTGGGGGGCAACGAGCCCCTGATCGTGCTAGTCAGGTTGGCTTTTTTTGCATTCATAGTCCATTCCTTATATTGTTTGAAACTTTGACTATTTCTAGGCTTTGTGGAGGATTTTTTTTTCTCGCTATGTTCATTTTGTTTCTAGTCTATTTTTCATAAAGTCTTGCAAATGTTAAAGTTTTCATATTGTTTCCTATTTCAGTCAATTTCCTTCAATTTACTGTCCTAAATGTATAGATGACATAGATGTATGATGTATATTTTTACGTTTTGTATGTTTCTACATGTCCAAATATTGTGTAAGAAGAATGTTATTTATATCAGTAAATTCTTTCTATAAAATTTATTGTGATTGTTTTAATTTAACCCAGTTTATATTTACTCAAGTGTGTACATGATATACTTAAAGTGAAATTGTTAACTATACACATGTGATGAGTTAATTTAAAAGTAATGGATGAAGTGGGGTATATTCACAGGTATTATCTGCCTCTCTATGTATAGTCCTGGACTATAGTAGATAGTGTAAAGTATAATCTAAGTATAAGTATAGTATGTGGTGGTTGATTAGTAAGCTATTGTGGTGGCCTTAATAACCCTCCAGAGATTGATAGGTCCAAAACCAATCCAAATATTTACTTTAAAATAGTAAACACTGTATAAGTGAACATTGTAGTACCAGAGCAAGAACTATTGCAACATGGCGCCATGATAAGATGTAATTATAAGTACACCATATGAAGGGATTATGAACAATGACTCCAGAAATGACAGACCTGTGTATATAAGTCCCTGAAGTGCATCTTTATCAGTCTTAATTACCACTGAAGTCCATAATCGTTTTTCTTAGTTTTGGGCGACAAGGGCACCGTTGAGCTACGAATTTAACTCTTGCAAATACCCAGTAGATGATACATTTAATGAAGATGTATTTGCCACTCGCATTTCTAAGTGTGTAAGCCTGATACGGTACGTACACACCCACATGTACACTTCGTACACTCGTTCACTAGCTTCACAGGTCCAGGCACGGTCCATGTTCATGCCATCATATAGAACAAAACTTGAATATACTCTGTCAGAGGTGTACCCTATTTTACGCTGTGTGTATGTATATATATGTGTGTATGTATGTGTATATATATATATATATATATATATATATATATATATATATATATATATATATATATATATAATATATATATATATATAATATCTCCCTTAAACTCTTCACCAAACCGTCTGTTGCGACGTATTAGTGCCCAAAATTGTCTCTAGAATGGTTACTGTGTCAAGTTACTGTGTGCAGTTTATAGCTCCTAAATCCGACGGACTAATTTTATAAATATTGAACAAAAGGCTTAGCTCTGGAAACCACTATAATGAACAAACCTCATAAGATCACACTTCAAGATCGTCGTGACATTACTTGCAATGCTTGGCCAGGATTTAAGTAAGCATTTACGGAACCTATACATCTTTCCTTAATCATAGGGGCTTTTCTGTATATTAGAGTTGACGAGCTGGTAAACTTTGGAACCCAAGATTATTATTGATATACAAAGCCTCACAGCGCTACGGAGCTCATAAAGTCTTTTAAACAAATGTAAACGAAGCTGCCATGATTAATGAAAGATATATAGATTTCGTAAGTGGTTGTGTAAATGCTTGATGAATCATGGGCCCAGGATAACCCAACATTTGTAGACTGTAGACTCTCTCTGAGGAACTGTGTAGTTGGCTAAGGTGAAAGTCAGGCCGGAAAGTCAGGCACGCGTAGATTACAGTTACGAAATCGACGGAGGAATTTATGGACGAAATATTAGAAACCTGCCTGAAATGTTGGGAAAACGTGCCTGAAATGTTGGGGAAAACCTGCCTGAAATGTTGTGGAAAACCTGCCTGAAATGATGGGGAAAATCTGCCTGAAATGTTGGGAAACCTTGCCTGAAATGTTGGGGAAAATCTGCCTGAAATGTTGGGGAAAACCTGCCTGAAATGTTGGGGAAAACCTGCCTGAAATGAAGGGGAAAGCCTGTCTGAAATATTGGGGAAAACGTGCCTGAAATGTTGGGGGAAAACCTGCCTGAAATGACGGGGAAAACCTTCCTGGAATGTTGGGAAACCTTACCTGAAATGGGGAAAACCTGCCTGAAATGTTGGGAAACCTTACCTGAAATGTTGGGGGGAAAACCTGCCTGAAATGTTGGGGAAACCCTACCTGAAATGTTGGGGAAAACCTGTCTGAAATATTGGGGAAAACCTGCCTGAAATGTTGGGGAAACCCTACCTGAAATGTTGGGGAAAATCTGCCTGAAATGTTGGGGAAAACCTGCCTGAAATGTTGGGAAACCTTACCTGAAATGTTGGGGGAAAACCTGCCTGAAATGTTGGGGAAACCCTACCTGAAATGTTGGGGAAAACCTCTCTGAAATATTGGGGAAAACCTGCCTGAAATGTTGGGAAAAACCTGCCTGAAATGATGGGGAAAATCTGCCTGAAATGATGGGGAAAAACCTGTCTGAAATATTGGGGAAAACCTGTCTGAAATATTGGGGAAAACCTGCCTGAAATGTTGGGGAAACCCTACCTGAAATGTTGGGGAAAATCTGCCTGAAATGATGAGGAAAACCTGCCTGAAATGATGGGGAAAACCTGTCTGAAATATTGGAGAAAATCTGTCTGAAATGATGGGGAAAAACCTGTCTGAAATGTTGGATAAAACCTGCCTAAAAATACGTGTTTAAGTATGAAATATACTGTCGGGTCATGAGGCTCGACACAGCGACAGGGCCAGCAGGAGCCACTTGGCACACGGACCAGTCTGAAATGTCTAGCTACAGACTTGGCATTTTGTTTGTCTAGATAATGATTTTTTTAACTATATAGTCTCTTCCTGTTTAGTGTAGTGATCTTACCACACAGATCAGAACATATCGAGGATTTATATCCTTATAAAATCCTATAACACACAATTTACAATCAGATCATTTATTTAAAATTTATTTGTTCTTTCCATAAAAGGTGTCCAGGTATTGGAAAATATTAGCAAACATTATTGGAGGTTTTAGGGATAACGAGCACATGATTTTCCCGAGTCTTTTTTGTTTTTGTTTCTCTAGTTACTTTAGGCTCGTGCCGCCAAGGTCTCGGTGGTGCTGTGTGGGGCTGTGTTTGTGTGCGTCTCTCTCTTCCCCCTCCACTGTTTTCTTCCTGTTTTCGCGAGGGAGTAGCGTGTCGGGTGATATATATCCTAGCACAGACAACATGAAAGGATTACATCAAAGGCAGACCAAGCAAAGTCGACTTCAAACGCCGTGTGAGTGAAGCACTTCGCAGCAAAGAAGTGAGAGGCTAACTTGGGGGGGGGGGGTTGTAAGGTAAGGAAGGTGTTTTTCTCCGATCGTGTGCTAAGATACACCTTGTATAATTACTTAAATATATATATAAACACCGTTGTCGTTTTCAACGCGTTGCAAGGACCTTTTATGAAATACTTTTACTGTGTGGGTTCGATGCTGAATTGCTGGGTTAGTTAGTTATACATGAGTAACAGCGGAGTTAAAGGGAAGGAGGTTTGTAAGGTCAAATCAGATTATTTTTGATTGTTGACGTACTTTAGTGTATTTCTGCAGCTATCGTAGACCATATTAAGGAGTTACGTAGTGTGTATCAAGAGCTCTGTGGGGCTAAAATCCCCATCTCGCAGAGTGGTTAAGTAACACAGGGCCTTGTGATCGGTAGCCTACACTAGCAGATTTTGGATGAATTAGGAAGATGTCTTCAAATACACGAGAGGAACGAAGTTAGTTTAGTTCATTTATTATGCACCCCATACCCATCTTGTGGGTGGTAGTGGAAAGGGTTACAGAGGCACATAATGGGCTCAGGGCCTGAACCCCACAGTTCATTTAGCTAAGCAAGTTACAATTTTGATGAGCTAGTTACAAAATTCAGTATAAGTCGTCACATCAACAATGGGTTCAAGATCGACCACAAGTACAGTTTCTAAATTAAGCAACTGACATAGGTGGAGAGCTAGTGTCACAATTGATATGTTTGTCCTGCACACCGCCCCCCCCCCCCATCCAGTGGGCAGCAGTGGATAGATTACAATCACTTAATTATTACCTAAAATTAGCAAACTGGGGATATTTGGCTAAAATTTCTGGTAGCAGATCATTTTGAATGAAATATTGACACAAAGGCAAAACTCCAGGTTGTTGTGTTTGTTAATTTAAGGGGCACGCGAGGCCTCATATCGGGCAGGTGTTTAGGGTCTAATGACGGGACAGTCAGTAATGTGGTGTGTGAGAGATAACGACCCAATTCCTGCTCACGGGTTGAGAAATCCGTCAGTCGAACCTGGCACTCACTACGTAGCATTGTTTGGTCAACGTTTTGGGCTGCCCAAACATACACGTTTCAGATCTAAACAAATTAGTAACTTTTTACACAAATGTTTTTAGGACTTTAGGAGTCTAATTTATCTCCTATCAGACTTGAATGTTTGGATTACATTAAAGTCAGATAAGAAAGAAATGAGAAAAATTAGTTTTTTTTTAACAAATTATTAATAGCTTATGCCGGCTGGCGGGGTCAGGCTGGTTTCAAGTAAAAGTCTACGGGAGAAACACTCATACTCTTAACTCTATTTAGTCACTTTAATTGCTGCAGTTAATGTATTTTTAATCAAAGAAGCAAAACAAGCTTTACACATACATACACACCGCATGTTTCAATTTTATCAATTACATATATTATAAAAAATGGTTGAATTTGTTTTTCTTTCATTCGAATGCAGCGATAATTGGTAAGATTGTCTCTACTATTTAAATAATAATTCATTGTGATGGGGGGACAGGCAGCCAGTGAATATATATACATGTTAGGCTTGTATCAAGGTGCTCCCTCTCTCCCCCCTTCAAGGTCGAACTACTGACCCTCCTCAGGATGCAACAACCTAACTCCTAAGTACAAATTTACTGCTAGGTGATAGGATTGATTGATTGATAAAGATTAAGCCGCTAAAAAGGGGGGCATGGGCATGAATAGCCCGTAAGTGGAGGCCCTTTGGGGCCATTACCAGTACCAATAGCTGGTACTTGGGATCTGTGGATGGGTGATAAGACATGCGCCCAACCATTTATATCCCGACCGGGATTCCAACCCGGAATTTCCGATTGAGAGTCTAGAACGAACCCAACTGTACTATCCTAGAGAGTTTATATGTATGAGGCTGCAAGTCCTTACAAACGCCTTCCCGGACTTTATTGGATGTGTTAACTTTATTTGCATAAAGGTGCACGTGTAGGGAAGTCACGTGTTAAGTCCCTTCCCCCAAGTCCTTCTTCAGGGCCATGTGTTACAACCACCACACTAGCCAACCACCACCACCACACTAGCCTACCACCACCACCACACTAGCCTACCACCATCACCACCACCCTAGGCTACCACCACCATCATCACACTAGGCTACCACCACCACTACTATCACGCAAGGCTACTGACATCTATCTGTACAGCTCAGCCGACGATGCAGCCAACTTCCTCTCGTCAATACATTGGGAACAACAACTTCCTGTCGAGTATAAATAGCAAAGTTTCGCTGTTCTCACATATACAATCACAACGGAAACGCCATAATTTAAGTCTAATACTCTTATTTTTTTATCTAGGTAGTCAATTAATGTTTGATATTTATTTATTTAGTTATTTATATATATACAAGAAGGTACATTGGGATTGTGAGGATACATAGCATAGTAATTATATTCTTGTAAAGCCACTAGTAAAATGTTTAACTTAATGTATTTTAAATGTAACTCATAGATATGATATACCTGTTCCTGGTCTAATGCTAAAACTTCATTTGCTATTTGTTAAAAATATTGATTTATATTTGCGTGAGGGAAAGAGAGAGAGAGAAATATTAAATGCCGAGACATTCAAAATGCAAAAAAAGGATTGTATTAGTTACCCTAATAAATGTTATCATAGAAAACTAACTTGAATCTAGCTGGATGGTGGGAATTATTAGAGTTAAAGGTAAACTATTAAAAATTAAGAATGTGTTTTTTTTACGCATTCGAAAGTTTAATAGCATATTTATGAACATTTTTTTGGTGTTATATGATAATTTGGCGTGTTATATGAAGACTTAGTGCCACGTGAAGACTTTGGGTGTTAACTGTGTTTAATTACTAAGTCGTAATTAAAAAGGCTGCTGGTAATGCAGTCGGATTGGTTCTCGACACATAATCGGGAATTCCGCGTTCGAATCCCGAGAGGGACAGAAATGGTTGGGCGCGTTTCCTGTTTCCTAATGCCCCTGTTCACCTAGAAGTAAATAGCAGTAAATAGGAATACTTTACATCAATGTTGACACTAGAAAGATTAGATGACATCACATTACCCACACAAATGTTTGAAGGTGAAGAGTTTAATGCTCGAACTAAGGGATATAATGGGATATAATAACGTACGACATAATCAGAAAGAGCATTGGCAAAGTAAAAAAGATTCAAAGCTTCGGGTGTGGATGGAATTCAATCCAAAGTAGTGAAGGAACTGGAAGAAGCCTACCACTACCTATAAATTCAATTTTTTTTATTGAGGAAAAGTACATACATAGATGATTTACAAACATAATGTTGGTTTTATAAATAGAGCTAGTACATACATTACCTAAAGCCACTAATACACTAATACGCATGGCGTTTCGGCCTACCAACCTATCCTTAATGTCTACCACGGAAACTCCTTTTCAGTGACAGGGCTTTAACCATTTCAGAAAATCCCTGGACCAAAGGATAATTCCCCAAATTTGGAAATTATGCAAATGTCACCCCCATTTTCAAAAAAAGGCAGAAAGAGCTCGGCAGAAAACTACGATCCTTGAAATCACACATCTGAATTTAACTAAGGGTCACTATTACTAGTGGCCTCGGCGAGGACAGGAAGCCGGCGGCTTGTCAAAGGCCGCCTTATTTGCCCCGATGACCTTTTCCAGTTGTATTTTAAAATTCATAAGTTTTTTTGTGGCATTTACGGCTTCGGCGGGTAGGCGGTCCCATGGGTTTATAACCTACTATGTGAAAAAGCATCTCCTGTTCTCAGTCCTACATTGTGGTTTGTTGAGCTTGAAACCGTTGCTCCTCGTTCGTGTGTCCAACCACTTGGACTGGACGGTAGAGCGACGGTCTCGCTTCATGCAGGTCGGCGTTCAATTCCCGACCGTCCAAGTGGTTGGGCCTCATTCCTTCCCCCGTACCATCCTAAATCCTTGTCCTGACCCCTTCCAAGTGCTATATAGTCGTAATGGCTTGGCGCTTTCCCACAATAGTTCCTCGTTTGTGTTCCATCTGACCTTTTGAAAAATTTGTCCGGATCGACATCCTTCAAATTGTTCAGTATTTTAAAGGTTTCGATGAGATCCGTCCTGTCATGCCTGGTTTGCAGTGTTGTAGCCTAGGGCCCTCAAGCCCCTGTGGTTCTGTGGATCGGTGGCTCTGTGGATCTGTGGCTCTGTAGATCTGCAAGCTCACTGAGAGAATCCAAAGTGAGGGAAACATTCACCATCTCACAATGAATCATCATGTAAAATCAACGCAACATGGGTTTGTTAAAAATAGATTCTGCTTTACAAACCTGCTCACATTTTTGGAAAACGGTAACCAGCTACTAAGACAAAGGACTTTCGGTAGATGTAGTTTATGTTGATTTTGCTGAAGCTTTTGATAAGGTACCGGATGAAAGGCTTAGCCTGGAAATTACAGACAAGTGGAATAAATGGTAGAATACTAGAATGAATAAAACAATAGCTAAAACAAGGAAAAACAAAGGATCGTGCTAAACGGGAATGAATCCGACTTGAAAAATGTGGTGAGTCGGGTACCACAGGGGGACCACTTTGGGGCTAACCCCTTTTTGTCCTATACCTCGATGACATAGATGAGAGTATCACGAACCACATCATCAGATTCGCAGATGATACCAAGATGTATGGTAAAGTGGGAAGTGAAAATGATATTGAGGCTTTACAAAGGCCTTACACGAACTTCAAAAATGGTCAGAAGACTGGTAAATACTTGCATGTGGAGGAGCCGCCCCATGAGAAGTTACGTCACAACTACTAAATTAACAACATTACCTTGCAGCAACTTGATGAAGAAAAAGGACCTTGGAGTCTGAATTCATCATTCACTGAAAGTTGCACAACAAGTGGGGTTAAAAATAGCTAATCAAACCATAGGAATAATTAAGCGATTTTTTTTTACTTTAAGGAAAAAGGTAGTTATGGAACTGTGTAAATATCTGGTGCGCCCCCCACTCCTTGGATTTTTGTTTCCAAGCATGGAGACTTCATCTTCAGAAAGATATAGCTACATAACAGAAAGTTTAACACTGGGCAACAAAATTCATTCCAGAACTAAGTCAACTCTCATACCAGGAACGGTTGAGGGCTTCAGGGCTAAAAACACTACAAACCAGGCATGACAGGGCCGATCATATCGAAACTTCTCTGAACAATTTGGAGTTCTGTTCTAAAGTTCTGAACAATTTGGAGGAGGATGACATATGTGGAGAGCTAGTGTCACAACTGATATGTAATTGCCAAAATTCTGTTGTTTTAAAGTCCAGTTGCAAAAAATCCTCAGGATCAGTAATTCGATCTTAGGAAGACCTCGATATAACTCAAAGTGTTCTTTAATGTTCTACCACTGTTCTAATGTTCTTTAGTCCTACCATCCCCCTTCCTTTTGTGTGCTTTATTAAATATTTAAATGTTATAAGATGTACAACAATGAAGAACTCTTGTATATATATAAATAAATAAAAAATAAATAAATACATTGGTTAATACAATGAGTGTTTAAGGGTTATATATACACACACACTGGCTGCCTGTCCCCAAACATAATGATGTATTATAATTAGTCATTATGAGACAACAATTAGTCAAGGCGCTTCATTCACCTCTCTTGTCTCCGCAACAACATTGTATTCGAATCTGTGTTTACAAACTTGGATTTAGTTTATTTATTCCATTAAATATGCAATATATATTATGTCTTTGATCTCTTTGTCGCTAAAAATCGCTATATATTAAACATAATGCAAAAATAATTGTATACATTATACATAGATTAGTATCTAATGAGATAATAAACTGGTGACAGTCTTAACCAAGGCGTTCGTACACGTTGCTCGCTCGCTCGCTCTCTCTCCTTGCTGGCGTCTGCTGTGTTTACCGATGAGAGCTGTCTTGTGCGGTGCCTTGCGTAGCGTGGCTCTCTTATCTAAGACGGCAAGAGTCTGTCCATCTGCTGCTGGTGGTGGTGTCTTCACGAGCTCGCGCTACAGCATCGCAACACCTTTAAACCGCTGCATCTTTAGTAGATTATTGAGTGTGAGTTACCATCTTGTTAGCTATGTTAGACCAGATTGTTCGGTGGTGTAGGGGCGATGGCTGGAACTAAAGGGAATAAGAATTATAGTTTATATAATTAAATATAGTATATATTATATAATTATAGAACTATTGAATGCACTGCAGGTGATACCGTAACTCTTGCACTTGGCTGGGTGAGTGAGTTGAGTGCATATTGTGAGTGCCTTGGGGGGGGGGAGGAGGGAAGTTCCAGGGATAAATAAGTCAGCAAAGATATTTATAGGTAGAGTAATTTAGACTACATTGAAATAGTTAAGATAATTCCTATCAAGACACCCAACCCACAAATCTGAAAATAAAAGAATTGATGACAGTTTTGGGCCAGCTGGGCTGTTATCAAGTCATATAATGGAAGAAAAAATAAAGGGGTGGAGAAAGTTCCTATTCATCAACCTTCGTGCACTTCCTTCTTTCTCACTTCATCTCGCTTTCTTTCATTTATCTCACTTTTACCTTATGTACTGGCTTTGTCCACTTTTTCCCCCATTACATGACTTGATAATGGTCAACGATGGAATGGAATGAAGTCAATTCTTTCATTTTCAGATTTATGGGTTGGATGTTTAATTTTCAGCCATTTTATTGTGGTTTATTGTCTGCATAACTCCAATCACTTTAATGGCTTTAACATAGTTCCAAGGAAGGACAGAAATGGTTAGGCACATATCTTTTCTCCTGATGCCTCCATTCACCTAGCACTGAAACAGGTACTTGGGAGTTGATGCAACGAAAAAAATTGCCTCTCGGGAAGGTTAGTATATGGGTCAAGGGTGAATATGATATGCCCAAGTACAGGCTACCTGTTCTCGACATCCAGAATTAAGAAGTGAAATTGTGATTGTGATTGTGTGAAATGCATGCAAGCTCTCCAAATTATTATTTCTCCGTGTGGTTACTTCCATGTGCAGTGGCCCCTCCTTTACGAATTTAATCCGTTCCCAGAGATGTTTCGTAAGCCAAAAATTCCCAACCCGAAAGAATTTTCCCCATAAGAAATAATGTAAATTGAATTAATTTGTTCTACACTTCCTAAAATATTAATTTTAAAATATATTTCATACCTAATTCACACAAATACTTAATACTATAGTATGTACAGTACAAGTTATTGCTTACCTTTATTGATGACTCTCTTTGTCGTATGGATGGAAGACGGTGAGGAGAGGGGGTGAGGGAGGAGGAGAGGTGTTAGTGTTTGGAAGGAGAGTTCCCTTCCATTATAACATCAGGCAGTTATGACTTCTCTGGAATACTCTCTCTGGCAAGTTTGCCTGCATACCACTAGGACCTGCTTGTGGCTCACTGCTTGTTTTTCTCACTAAAAACCTATCCATAAAGACTTGTTTTTCCCCTATGTTGTAACACTTGTTTGTAGCGAGGCATCAGTGTCCTTAAAAAGGTTAAGGCAATGGCCTACTGCAGCTTGTTCTGCGTGAGTCATTTCAACAAATGTTTGCATTTCTTCCCATATTCTACACCACTTCTTAATTGTTGAGGAAGAGATATTCTGTACTGCCTCCTCCTCCCCTGAAGAAATTTCCTCAGCTGCCTCTTGTTGCTACCCCTTGTGAAGGACTAGGATTTCTTCAGTTCTTTGCTGTGTTCCTCCTCCAACTCACAACATTCGCAACTCTCACAACACTGTGAATGCCACCTCTTTTTCTAAATTTCTCAAACCATCCCCTGCTCACCTTAAACTTTTTCGTATCTGCATCACTTGTTCCAGGGGTTTTCTTTAAAAGCTCTTCATGCAATAGCCTTGCTTTCTCACAATTGATTCCCTCTGAAATGCTATCACCTTCAAACCCCTTGTTGTGTATCCAAATTAATAACAACTTTTCGACATCCTCAAATGTTTGTATTCTTTGTTTCGTGATTGTTGATAAGCCTTTTGCCACTTTAGCATTTATGTCCTTTTTCTTAGCAATTACAGTGCATATCGTTGACATAGATTTGTTGTGTTGCCTAGCTAGTTCAACAACCCGTGTACCATTTTCATGTTTACAAATGATCTCTTGTTTTTGCTCTATGGTCATCCTCACATGTGGTTTCTTAGGATGAACCTTACCACTGACTTTCTTGGGACCCATGGCATGATATATAATAATTACTCTTATGTTCAAAACCCCAAAAAAGCCGAAAAACAATTAAATTCTTTACAAAGAATTCATGCACAATCATCACTAAGCGGGAGGCACTGGTAAACTGAAGGGCGAGTGACTGTGCCATCAGGAACCACGCGCTAGGTCGCCCACTCGCGTATCAACAAACTACGTTACCTGAGGCAAAGCTCATAAGCCGATTGACATTTTACGAAGAAATCGAGCTCATAACCCAAAAAGTTCGTAAATAGAGGAATTCGTAGCCCTAGGTGTCACTGTAACTGAATTGTAGTTGGAAACTTGTATAAAAAACTCTCTTCTGCAATATTGCAACATTCTAAGATAATTTTTTTATATGACTGCACTTGAAGGTTGCCAGTGTATGATGATAATTTTGTGGTATTGTAGTGAAGTAACCTTCTCTCTAATATTTTTGTTTACTGTATTTTTAAATTTATTATTGTGAATATTTAAGCATTTTCAAAAATAATACTATATGGTTGATGTTTTAATACAGATCACCAGCACCATGCCAACACCTCAGGGAATCAATGGGTTGTATGACTTTCAGAGGGTGACTCCAGAAGATATTGAAAAAGACACTGAGAAACTTATTCTCAGGCAACGAACAGCTTATGATAACATTGCGTCACTGCCGCTGGACAAAGTTACATATGAAAATGTTATCAAGGTAAGTGTACTTTATTTGTAGATGTTTTGCCTGTGACTTAATACAGCTCTTGTGGTTGAAGATCTGATACAGTTCTTTTGGGGCCTGAGAACCAAGTTGTGGGTGAGACTCGTATGTTTGTGGGTAATAGTACTATAGGTTGCCAAGACAATGTGCAGTTAGGTAAAGCTCTCGTGTGGCAGCCTCGTTTGATACCAGGGAAGAACATTGCATTCTTTCAGTTCACATGAAATTTATCTTCAGTCATTCTGGGCAGGCTTGAACTTACCTCTAGTATTCCATTAGCATCTTTTATGTACCCTTAGAGACATCTTCATGTGGCACTAGTGTCAAGAGTGTAACCTACCAGACTTGTCACAATCCTTGCTCGGGGGAAATTGCAAAATTATCTTATCGGAGGGGGCAAGTGAATGGGAATGGCTTAGTAAGTTAAGTAATGGTTACAGACATTTTATAAATTTTGTGCAACCACATGTTTTAAGAATTTGGGTTATTTGTTTTCTCGGGAACGAAATGCTCATTTTTCCACCATTCCTTTGGTGCAACACTTCATTTTTTATGTAATAATGTTGGTTAATATTCTTGAAGTGTATAAGAAAACTGCCTGATCATCTTAACACTAAATGCTCTGTTAACAGGAAACTTTCATTTTGGTTTAAATTTTGGGGTTAATACAGTACTCCCTGTTAGGTGAGGTTTAGTCAAGTTAGGTTTCGTTGTATTAATATAGTTAAATAATTTTTATTTCAACTATTACACCTTCCCTAACAGCACACATTTTAATAATAATAATACTAATTCTTTAAATGCATGAAACAAATTTAATTTGTTTTTAAATAAATACCAATGTGTGAAACATTGAACTCTTATGACTAGTTGGTTACCATATAATGCCAAATATTTTATGATGGAAACTGGGTAATCTAAGAATCTGTAAGAAAATATTGAAGCCATAAGATGGGATCAAATCTGTATTCCAGAACTCTTGAAGGATGCAGGTATGATCCCGTCGTACTGCGTGAATATTTTCTCATAGATATGTCAAATTCTTGTGATTTCATTATGTTAAAACTCTCTCTCTTTACTGTAGCAACTTGCAGATTTAATGGCAGAGAGAACGACACTGGGGTCTCCGTTGGATTTCCCCCAACATGCAGCAACGGACAAAGCTGTGCGGGAGGCGTCCAGTACGGCGGAGCAGAAGCTTGAAGAATTTGATGTAGAGATGAGGTGTGTGGTAATGGTTAAAGACACGTGATTTTAGTTTGTAAGGTTGTGAAGGTAGATGATTGCTTGACCACACACACATATACACACAACTAGGCAAGTACAATATTACACATACACAACCCTCTGGAATCTGTACACCAGTTGAGAGACAGGACCAAAGAGCCAGAGCTCAACTCCCACAAGCACAGTTAGGTGAGTACATTATTTTCCAGAAGAGACTCATTTTTGACATAACATTGAAGAAATTAAATGGAAAGATTAAGTGATTTGGTGTTTCTTCACCCTCTAGATGATAGAAGGAATTTATGTAGAAAGGATAATATCCAAAAGAAAATTAACAGTAGTCACAGTGCTGTTGTGTTTAATGACATGTGTATTAGAGAAAACCTGCTCCCTAAATATGTTAATATGTATGTTTAATATATTAATACTGTATAGATATTAATATTCACTATTGGGTAATATATAAATATGTATGACTGAGGGTTATATTCAGAAATAATGGTTATATAGTACATGTAGAAAGAGTTGGCTTCGTAAGTAGCAATTAAAGAATATTAGATCAAAAAACATACAATTCTAATCATTCCACATATAATCAGGAGTATTGTTATAGTCCAGAAACTCATTACAGCCTCCTGTAATCATTGTGCACTCCCTGTACTCCACCACTCTGTTCATATCCTGAGATCACTAGTGTGAGCATCTTTTTCTTGATCGACTATGATAATACTGAACTTTTGTTATATATATATATCTATAGTGTACAGTATTTTAAATTGTTAAATGCTTAGGTTATGGCATAAAAGTTATGCATTGAATTAATTCTTTTAGGGTAATACAAATTGTATTACTGTACTGTATCGTCTTTCTGAAAATTTGATTATATAAGTTTGATAGTAAAGTATTACATTTTTAGGTCTTTGTTTTGTTCATGTAATTTTTTTATTTTCTAATTGATATAAAGTTTCAAAGTTGCTTAGCAATGAAGTTTTGACAGCATTTAGAAAAACAAAGGTTATTGGTATTAGAAATACTGTACAAGACAAGTGTTTATACTGAGTCTACTTTGAAATGTTTCAGCATGCGGAAGGATATCTTCGACCGTGTTGTGGCCTTTAGAGATAATAATGGTTTGGAGGGCTTCAGCGATGAGCAAAAGAGGCTCGTTGCCAAGCTTATCCTTCATGGCAGACGCAATGGTAAGCTATCACCACCACCACCATTATTTTGACCTTTACCTTGTTTCCTTCTTGAATAAGACTTGGAGGTATTATTCCAAGAGAAATGGGGAAGCCATATCCAAAAATAATTTTAGATATTCAAAGAGAGATCCATTCACCATTTCTCTTATACTGTATATGGTAAGATCGCATTGAATTGATAACACCACACTCGAGCAAAGCATTCACTGTGGCAGAGTTTCTTTCACCCTATGCCCCTGTTACCTAGCAGTAAAATAGGTACCTGGGTGTTAGTCAGCTGTCACGGGCTGCTTCCTGGGGGTGGAGGCCTGGTCGAGGACCGGGCCGCGGGGACACTAAAAAGCCCCGAAATCATCTCAAGATAACCTCAAGATAAGCACCTCAACATTTCATACAATTATAGTACAGTACTGTATTTAGAAAGTGTTTCCTGTGAGTTTTGTTTATTAAAAATGTGCTTAATAGACAAACCGATTATGTTTAGCTTGATTGTTTCACTTCTTGTATGCTATTGAAAGTACATCCATACAGTACTCTCTTTCACACTTGCCATGTCTCTCGTGATCTATTAGCAATCTTCAGTCACATTTTTCCATGAAATTTTCAGTTAACACTTTCGCTCGGGGATGACGCAGCATTGCGTCATCCGTTTACTGGCGGTAATGCCGGGGATGACGCAGCATTGCGTCATCCACTTTAAAAATTCGCCAAAAATCAGGTTTGTATCCAATTTTTTGGGGACTGGTTTTAAAATGTGCGCCGATGTCTTCCCATTTCCTTTGTTGAGCCTCGTGGCCCTCAGGCGGCTTGGCACACGCCGTGGGCCCATTGTCTTTGCTCCACTGTTGTGACCAATGTCGTCTCCCCCTCGCATCTCAAACGTGTGAACATTTCGGCTATTTTCCGTGGCTATATTTCTTACTGCGGCTTTAGAAACTATCTACGCTTACTCCACGATGGATAGTAATCATGAACAAGGCCCTTCCAGGAAGAAAATTGCGAAAGAAAGGCTTGAAAAGGGTGGGAATTGGGAGTGTAGTAGGAAGGCCTCTGAGCGCTCACTCACGGCTAACGCGTGGCCCGTCTTCAACTCGTCGGCGGTTGGAGCGTGACCAGGTGTTTTTTTTTATATGCTAATGTTCCTCTAGAGAATTTTATTACGAACCCATTGAGACCAAAATGAAAGACCTAGGACAAAAATTGAGGTGACCAGAGTGAAAATAGTGAAAACATTTTATCCCGTTTGCGCGCTCCCGGGTAACTCGTTCGCACTTTCTCTGTTTGCTGCGGGTAATTAGCCGGGCTTTTGGAGTTTATATGCATTTAGTGCTGTAGAGAATTTTATTGCGAACACAATGATACCAAATTTATTCTCGTAGAAGGAGAATTGAGGTGACAAAGTTGAAGAGAGTATACACTTTTCGGAATTAACGCGCGCTTCCGTGACACGCTGGGGCCCATATCGCCCTGTCGAGGGGTGGCGCGCGGGGTGAGCGAAAGTGTTAATCTAACTGAAAATTATAATTTTGTTTTGTTAGGCTCCTTAGTCATATTATGCAAGGTATGAATATTTAATGAGGAAATAGTGAACTGCAATTCAGTCAATACAGTATATGTATTGACACACTTTCACACTTTCCTTTCAAGAGCTTGGAGTCCCTCTCATAGCTATGTTTTTGTTAGGCACTCGATCCATTATGGAGATCCTATGGAAGTCATTGTTATGTCGGTACTCGGTATTCCTCCATATCTTAAAGTTTATCTAAGAATAGTATACACCCTGTACATGTTTTCATACTTTGTTACCTTCCTTACATTCTCCCGCACAACTGACACTGTAAATGAGGCAATTTGCAACCCATTGGATTAAGGAGTGCCGTATATTGACAATAAGGGCTTGGATCCAGCCTCTGTTGTGTTATTTATATTACTTAAAAAGTTTGGAGGAGTTCTTCTTTTGGACTTGACTGTTCGGACTACTATATCTAGAAATACTTGAACATATGTGGGTTGTTAAATGATAGTTCTTGTGTAAAAGCCTCTTAATTTTAAATGTAAATTATGTTGACTACAGTATGTATGAGAGTAGGATGCATTTAGTAATCTAAGCGTGGTGGGCAAAATCTAAATACGGTATAGCACTACTGGTCTATAATTTTACTTCTTTAGGTCTTCACCTGTCGGAAGAAATACAATCGGAGGTCAAGAAAATAAAGATGCGCATGTCAGAACTGAGCATCAAGTTCCAACGTAATCTAAACGAAGACAATACGAAGCTCTTCTTCACCAAAGAAGAACTAGCCGGCATGCCTGATGACTTTGTTAATGAACTTACTCAGGTACACATTCATATTCCTTTGTAAGCGCTGTAATTAAGATAGGTAAGTATTGCTCATGTGAAAGCTTGTGTGTGACATTCAAAAAGCCTCCTTAGTTTGGCTCATGGTCCATACATACTTGCACCAAACTGAAAGAAAAGAAAATGAGACTTGTTTACTGACAGTGGTGATTGTATATTGAGTTATGCTTATTTTGAACATTTTATTCAAAATAGAAATATACTGTGTTAATTGTTTAATTCTGTTATCTCTCTAATGCCTCAATTATTCTAATGTTGTATTTGTGTTGTGTAAGAAAACTGTTCATTTTAAGGTGAATATGTACAGTATATTTTTATCTAAAATGATCCATGTTAATTATGTGTTCCTTCCAACAGACCATCTTTATTTGTGAACTTGTTAATGACTTGGTTCTTTACTCTGTTTATCAAAGGTGTATACAATGCTTTGAAGCAAACAATAAATGCTGAATAATCTTTTCCTAAATCATTGATTTTTATACACTAAGAATGGAATTGAGCAAACATTTTAAGTTGGGCTAAAGCTGTCAGATGAGCTTGAGGAAATACAAAATATAAAGTTAACCACAAGTTTTTATAAAGTTTATGAAGTAGGCAATATAAACTTGTTTATGCAGATTTTGTTGTTCATTAAATACCTGCCTCTATCTGATACCCAACAGTCTTAGAGAAGGTTCTTCAGCATTCATCAATATCTCTTGCGTTATTGTAGTCATTCTTTTCTTTACCCGTAACTAACAAATTTAGGATTGCAGAAAATTAGTCACAGTAACATGGTTGAAAACAAATAACCCACCCTATACAAATGAAATGAAAATAAAAGAAATCAAGAAAGGGTGAGCTCAATGATTCTAGCCCGAATCTGCTATTTTTTCTTCACTTGAGAAGAAAGATGAAAAATTAACACTCCAAAGTTTATTTTCCAATTTGATTTGACCTGACGTGCATTTGGTTAACCTTTGTTAACGTTATCAAAGGCAGAGTTCAGATGGTTACAAGTTCTTGTGCTGCAGGGTATATAGTTGGGATGAGGTGAACATGAACGTTAGGTGAGGGTGAAGCACCTCACTTACAGCAATAGGTCCATTGCAACTAAGCAATCTCCAGTATTTCCATTTACAGACTATGCATGCCCGTGCCACCTCTTGGGAGGCTTCATCTTTATCAATCAATGTTTCCACAGTAGCTGGGGCAGTACAGTATTTTGTGTTTCGTCGTGTTCTCGAAGATGGCAGAATGTAATTTGGTGCTTGGTGTTGATTGATGGTTTGGTTTGCTTGATATATAATACCTTGCTAATGTCCAGTCTTCTAATGTCATTGTATTTGTCTTATTTTATTTTTTTTTCATGACGTCTCTGATGATGATCGGGTTATGTGTGGAGACTATATGTTCCTTGATAGGACCTTGCTGTTTATGCATTGTTAGACACCTTAAATGGGATGTTGCTGTCTTGCTTATATATTATGTTCATTGGGGCTGTCAGTCCCCACGTGGGCATGTGGAGACATAGACTACATTTGTCTCTTTCAAGGGGTTTTGTTTGGTGTCAGGAGAGTTTTTCACGAGCCAGATATTGTGATCACTTGCCACAGTTTGTGCTCAATATCTGGGACATGCAGGAATATGTCATCTACTTATCTAGTATACACTCAGCTTTAAGCCTAATTCAACAAGGACTTTCTGTTCGATGGTACCTGCGTAAAAATTATCAAGTAGGACACCAAGGGGGTAACCCATACCAATGCCATCTACTTGTTCATACATGCACATGTCCTGACTCAAGAAGGGTGCCTCCTTGGTACATGCTTTGAGTAGCTTCCAAAGTGTGCCTTCTGGGAAGTCAAGGGGAGTATAATCTAGATCCCAATAAACTCTGTCCATCATCATCCCAATAGTCTGATCCACAGGCAAACGCATGAAAAGCATCTCAACATCAAGAGTGATACTTACTCCTGATGTTCGACCCCCTGCAATAAGTCAACACATTTCTTTGGAGGAATATGTATCCTGCAGCACAAGAACTTGTAATCATTCAAACCTTTGCTTTGAATGGTTGGCTGACTTTGATAATGTTTTATTTATTTATTTTGCAGGTTCTTCATTGATGATATATACCATGTTTTGTGTTCTAGGGTGAAGATGGCAAATTAGAAGTAACGATGAAATACCCACACTTGTTCCCTATTACTAAGAAGTGCCGTGTGCCAGACACTAGAAGACTAATGATCACTGCCAGTCAATCCAAGTGAGTATTGCTGTGTTGTTCACATCATACATGTGTTGGTATCTGAAAGTGGAAGGAAAGAGAACCAAGATTGTCAGGAGGCCTGGTCAGGGACTGGGCTGTGGGGACCTTGAGCCCCAAAATCAACACAAGGTAAAGGAGATTGGATTGGAAATGAATGTGAATGAAAGGAGTAAGTGGGATTCTGAAAAAGTAATGGGCAACCAAACACCTTAAGAGTTGGTAACAACAGTATTTTATCAGAAAGAAAAGTATTTAGTATAGTAATTAATCATGTCTTGTGCCATTCAGACATGATATTTGGACCATCCATCCACTCCATCCATTGGAGTGGATGGTCCCATGCACAGGCTTGTAGTGACTAGCCATGACATGGTATAAGGATTACAACCTGGAGTTCTACTGAACCCACAAGGGTTTCCTGGGGCTTCTATGGAAGCCGGAACAGGATTTTCACACAATCCTTCCATGCACTCTGGCTTTGTCATCTAGGACTTGTTCTACCTCTGATGCTTCTCTTTCACTCTTTAGCATAAGGTTGTATAAGGTTGCAATCCATATACCATGTTGTGGTCTAGTCGCTAGACCACGTGTGCGTGGGAACATCCACCACATGGGTTCGAACCCTCATCACTGCTCCTACGAATTTTCTTAAATCATCATTATTAGTCCCCCCAACCTCTTCCCTGCAAGACAAAGAGAGAGATAACACAGTTGAAAATTGTCATATTTAATCTTCAAAACATAGATTAAATGCTATATACTGTATATGCCATTATAGGACATTTAACATTAATATAGATGTTGGAGAAAATACTACAATCAAAATTAAAGAAATAATAATGCTAAGTCTCATTGTTGTACAGTAATTGTTTTATGTGGTAACTGCAGTATTGTATCGATCAACAATCCTTTAAAACTAACTTTTCTGGTATTATATGGTTTGACAATGAGGCTCAGTCAAGATAATGCTTTTTTTTGTTTGTCGAGTGTTTGCAATTTTGTTAGTATTTGCTTTTTCCATGTGATCTGGCTCTTGAGGACCTGTCTCCTAGCAATTAGTACCTAGTGCATTTGATGTTTTCCCCTGAGATTCTTGTGCTTTGATAAGTGTGTATGGACCTGGATTATATCACATTTACTCCCAGTACATGGCACTTCCTGCAACCCACACTGCATGTACGTTCTTTCTTCCATCTCTCTGATGTGCGTTACTGACTTCAACATGTCCCTTCTCCTTCCATTCTTCCTTGTTTGGTCATTTCCTTTTCTCATTGGGGCTTTGTATTAACATCTTGCTGGCAGGTGACGGCTTGCTGAGAGGCTTGCCCTCAGTTTACTACAGTAGTGCACAATGTTTTGGGAAATATGCTGTGTGTGCTGCAGTATCTCTTTCTGATTATCGGAAATAGCATAAATAATTATAGTGGTGATAATGTTGATACAGTATTATAATTTCAGGTGCATGGAAGAGAATACTCCTATTCTTGAAGAGCTGATTACTCTACGGCAAAAACAAGCTAATTTGTTGAATTATAGCAATCATGCTGCATATGTATTAGAGGAGCGCATGGCTAAAACCCCCGACAACGTGGCTCAATTTCTTTCGGGACTCTCTGAAAGGCTCCAGCCCTTGTGGCAGCAAGAGAGGTCTGATATGCTCAAGCTGAAGAAAGATGAGGTATTATTGACTTATTATTTTTGTTATGATTTAGTAAAATTATAGTAAGAGTATTGCAGAAGTGTGGAAGAAATTGAAATTGTGTAAAAATAGGTGACTATTATTTTTTAAGCAAATGGAGATTTTTTAGGTAATGTCCCTAAATAATGACAATACTTATTAACTATAATACAGTGAGATATTGCTAAAGAAACTGAAACATAGATTGATGTAATGCAATGAGTGGGAATAGAGTGGCTTATATTCTACATGGTACACAACTTCAGATATGAGAACTTGCTAGTCTGGTGTTGTAAAGTGAAGAATATAATACAACTTTAAGGATTCTATAAAGATACAGCTTAATAATCATTAAGGTACTACCCCCTATTAAACAACATTTATCTTTTGTAAAATATATATATATCCAGTTTTTAGTTAATATTTTTCTTTTTTCTTCAGTGTGAAAAGTATGGGTATGAATATTCGGGTAAACTGGACTTCTGGGACTTTCGATATTATATGAACCAGATAGAAGAGAAGATGTATGCTGTTGATCAAAATGAGGTGAGTGATGGATTACATAGATTTAACAGAATACCATCAGCAGTGTATGCAGCATTAGCAGACATAGAAACAGCTCTTCAGAACCTTAACATAGTTCTTGCTAGTGCCCAAATCTGATAAGCCAATCTAATCTTGTGTTACACTAGTCCTGGAGTGTGCAGAACCACCATGAGTCCCGAGATAAGATAATTAATCTATGACGACAGATTAAGGTTGCTCAACCCGGCAGCCCTAGAAGAGAGGACCAAAAGATAAGGGGGAACAGGAACAGTCTTTTGTCTAAATGACAGAAGATAAAAATACAAACGAGTTAGATGTAAGACAATACTGATATGCAGTGATAAGTATATACAGTACTGTAAATTAAATACATTAGGAGAAAAAGTTGTGGATTCTACTTCCGTCCATAATTTCAAGTGCAAATATAAAAGATAACTAAAATGTTGAGAGGAACACAAATACAACTTTCAACAATTCTTTCTGCCCCTCTCTCATTGTACAATATATCCATATTGTAAAATAAATAAATCCAATAATAAATACATATACAGTATATACATACATACACTATATATATATATTGTATATATCAGGTATTGTAGCGACTATATCCCTGTGAGTGGCTCCAAACAACAGCCTTTTGGACCAGGTTGTCACAAGACAAGCCTGGTCTCAACCCAGGCTTGTGAAGTAGAAAAACTCCCAGGAACCACTCTTAGGTATATATAGAGAGAAGGGCGAGAGTATTTGTACTTTAATGAATGCTGTATATTGTCTATCAACTGGAAGAGTTTGTATTTTTAAGATTATATTTTGAGATATGCATGGCATAGGGGGACCAAGGAAAACTACGATAATTAATTTTGATACAAAAATCTTGGGTTTAAAATTAGAGTTCTTATTAAACTTGTTGTGTACTGTGGTTATGAAATACAGTACTTTTCCACTGTAATTCAGTATGCAAATGACAAAAAAACAAACTTCAGTATTTTAAAGACTTGGTAAGAGTCTAGGATAGACGAAAATGTCGTCACTTTCTTCTAATTTCATATGAGTAGATTGGGTTATTTGTTTCTGCTATGTTATTGTGACTTACTCTCGGTCTGCCTTGACTGTTCAATGAACGGAGCAGTAATTCCTTGTTTATTTCAACAGGTACGGCAATATTTCCCTCTAGAAAAAGTTACATCCGGTTTGCTACATATCTATCAAACTCTTCTTGGACTTCAGTTCACTCAAGAGCCAGATGCAGACACGTGGCATGAGGATGTCAAATTAGTAAGAATATATAGTACTGAACTAGAGAGATTTTTGTATACAGTAGTTTCTAATTCAAATCTTATCACTAGTAAGGACTATTTTCATTTTAATCTTAATTCTTAGGAAGTGGTTCATCATAGTTACTTATTCTGTAAGTTTGATATGGTTTGCCTGAGATTTTGTGTTCAGTTGCTCCGTCTCCCAGTCAAAATACACCCCTATTTGGTGTATATTGGCTGGGGGGAGTTTTCAGGCCGGTCCATTATACATGGGTATATTGGATTTGTTCTGACCAGTACTGGTTGTTGCAGTCTTATTGCCTCTCATAATTGTAGCTCTGTTGTGGAGTGTAATTGTATTTTCCTGTTTGGTACTCATTGTATAACATTCTGTGCCTTTCAAGGGAAAGTCTGGGCAGCTGAGGTCATAGAATTTTCTTTCCTCAAGTCAGGTTTTGACACATGTCTGGATGGAAATTCAGGTATCTGCATGTTTTTTGTAAAATGATATTTTCCCTATCCTGAGTATATTTAGACATTTTCTGAGATAGTAGTAGCTGTATTCTAATCCCTTTCTCTTTCCAGAATATCTATGTCTGCAAATGCCCTTTTACATAGAATTTGCAAATGTTTGTTTTCCTGGTCTGAATATATTGAAGACTGTTGCAGTGTCTGTACCTATCAAACTGTCAGTGCTGTCGGTTAAACTTTTCTGTCTACTGTAATCTTTATCCAGGCTTACTGAATCATAATTTCCAACTTCCTGAACTTCTACTTCAGTTTCATACCTGTCGACAGCCTCAGCTCCTGGTGCCTAAGACTTTGACTCGACAGAGATGTTAGACAAAATTCCTGTGGTACCGGTGCCAGAATGTTGTCTTGCCTGACTGTACATAAATCCCTGTTTAGTGATAGTATCCGATACACTCTGCTCGGTTATGCTGAGCAGAAGGTATCGGGTCCCACTGCTGGCAGGGTCGACATTCAGTCCCCGACGGTCCATGTGATTGGGCATTGATTCTTTGCTCCTTTATCACATATCAACTACTGATTGTCATATATCCCTTCCAAGTGCTATAAAAGATATATTGTCTTAGTGCTTTATCCTGTTACAGCACTAAGCACAACCTTGATCAGCTCAGATAAATGAGCTAAAATGTTTCAAAATTTTTAATCAAAACTTTATTATGGTTTTGTCTATACAAAATAAAAACAAAGACAACAGTAGTTTTATTTTGGACAACTTTTCCATATGAAAGAATTAGAATTATTATTATTTATTATTATTTTTTGAAATGTATAATTTTTGAAAAGTTTATTGTATGTTGTAGTATCGTGTGAATGACTTGAAGACTGGAGAGCACATGGGCTATTTCTTCCTGGACCTGTACCCTCGGGATGGCAAGTTTGGGCATGCTGCCATCTTTCCTCTTCAGCCTTCGTGTGTTGCTGCTAATGATGAGCGACAGGTAAGATATTATGTGTTTGAGTAATGAGAGTGAGTCTGCCCTATATTAGTTTTGTAAATACTTGAAATGTAGCCAATTGTAAAAGAATATGACTAAATATAACCTAATTAAAATTTTGGCAAGAAAATCTAAATCTTAGGCAGTACTGTATTAGGAAAATCAAAATTGCAGATGGTATCAGGAAAATTGAGCTCATCGAACACTTGGAAAGCACTGCATATTACAGAGAATATTATACATTTGAAAATTTTTCATAAAGGCTTTTTTTTCAGGTTGCAGTGTGTGCAATGATGTGTAACTTCACTAAACCCACTAAAGATAAACCAGCTCTGTTGGATCACTCGGAGGTAACGCTTGACTGTCCTTAAAATGATCTGTACATTGCTCTTGACATATCGTTAATATTACTTAGTGTCTCGGGTTAAAGATATTGATGTACGTGTCATTATTATTATTATTTTATTCTTTCTCAGGTAGAGACCTACTTCCATGAGTTTGGTCATGTGATGCACCATATCTGTGCACACGCCACCTTCTCTATGTTTGCTGGAACGCGTGTAGAGAGAGATTTCCTTGAGGCTCCTTCACAGATGTTGGAGAACTGGGTGTGGGAGAAGGAGCCTCTATCTCTTATGTCTGAACATTATCAGGTAAAATAAAAATTAATATTAATTTACTATTTTCAAGTGTGTTTTGTGCAAATAAATATAATATTCTGTACGGTGTTAAAAATCTGCAGATACTCATAAAAAATGGTAATTTCATGGAAACTATAACTTGTACCCAATTCCATTATACAGTAATGTGGATTTATATATTAAGGCTTCCACAATCTTTGTAACTAAAGAAGAAAATGAGTGCATTTTGCAATACTGAGAGAGAGGTTATGTATAGCACTGATGTGACTGTGTCACCTCAGTTAGAAACATGACTAATATTTGCTCATAAAATCCAGGGAATTGGAGTACTTTTCCATTACCCATGTATCATGCTAAATACATGGGCTTCACTATTCCACAACATGGCAGTTGGATCATTGTCGGAAGCTACTTCCTTCTGCATAAAGCTGCATATTGAAATTGATCTAATGACGTTAAGCATTTAGCATTATTGATGTTGATAAAGGTTGAGAGTTTCCTACTGGGAACCTTAAGTAGCTGCTCAAAACACAGATGATGATCATGGACATTATAAGATATTGTATTGCCAAATTGTCGATATGGAAATTGATAGTGACTATCTTTGATGGAATAGTAGTGGATATATCCATGCATAACTGCATGTTATGTTGAAAATTTTAATACATAAAATGGCAAATTTCTTGAATTTTACAGTTTATTTTTCATTTATTTACAGACCGGTTCTCCACTTCCTGATGAAATAGTTGAGAAACTAGCCAAGTCTCGCAAAGCAAATGCTGGAGGGTTCAATTTAAGACAGATCATTTTAGGAACTTTTGACCAAACTATTCACACCAGAGGACAGGCGGATACGAAGTCTCTGTTTGCTCAAACCTACCGTGACATCATGGGCATTGAGCCCATTCCCAATACTAATATGCCTGCGAACTTTGGACATCTTGCGGGTGGATATGATGCTCAATATTATGGTTATCTGGTTAGTATATAAGTATGTTTATATATCGTTTGATATTTGTTTTGTAGGCAGAAATGTATTGACCAAGTATCCATGGTATAGATACAGTATGGTTTTGACAGAATTTCCCTAGTTGTCCCACTCAGTTGCTGCCTAAGGCAAGATCCTACAGATGCTACGAGAAGGGTCTTGCTCAGTTATTGCAGGTCAACATTTTGCACTGGCCATTGCATGGATATTTTCCAATGTCTGTTTTGGATTATCCTGATGGTGGAGGGAGGACTGGGAAAAGGTGGTGGTTCAAGAGTATTAAATCTTACCTGGAATTATTTCTAAAAGGATTCATGTAAAATTAGAATCTTTCTAAGTGTTATTTTGCATCACAGAAACTATCAAGTAGTTCTCTCATTAACTGTCTGCTTGCCTACTGGGTACTTGTGCATGTTATTTGTGGAAAGGTGAAGACTACATTTCAGTTAAATAATTTGTGATTATCCTTAGAAATTATATTTCATTGCATAATAGTCTTATGCCATATAGAAACCCTTGTTATTTGTGTGATGCAAGTGGCTTGTGTGTGCCTGGACACTGTGACTGACGCCAGGGTTTCATTTTCTATCCTGGTTTGATTAATGCCGTTGGCATCAGTGATTCTCCATTTTCAGTTTCCCACAACATTTGTGAATCATTGAAACTTGTGCTGTTTATATATTATTCATCTACCAGTTCTTGTAATTCTAGTATGATGCTGTCCCAGCAGTGAAAAATCGTCTTGCATTTACATTGAAGGTTCTTTTGATAGTTTTGATAGTTCATTTTGTATATGTGCATCTATTTACTTTATTAGTGGTTTCAATGTTTACATCCATTAAATTTGTTGTTGTACCTACAGTGGAGCGAAGTGTTCTCGATGGACATGTATGAGAGTCGGTTCAAGAAAGAAGGCATAATGAATCCTGCAGTAGGAAGTGACTATCGCATCCGTATCCTACAACCTGGTGGCTCGAAAGATGCTGCGGATTTACTGAGAGACTTCTTGGGTCGCGATCCCACTCATGATGCTTTCCTCCGCAGCAAGGGGCTACAGGCATAACAAAATAATGTTTAGAAAATTGCTGACCATTTGAAAATTTTAATTCAGATGAAGAAGCTACTTACATTAGATTTTACAAAACTTTTATTGGGATAGTTGTTTATAGAAGTTGATGTCATGGTTAACATTGTTTTATACACGTCAACATATTTTGATTTGTATATACAGTGTTTATATATATGTATGTATGTGTATATATGTATGTATGTATGTATATATATGTATGTATGTATATATGTGTGTGTATATATATATATATATACAATATATATAATTAATATATATATATATATATATATATATATATATATATATGTCGTACCTAATAGCCAGAACGCACTTCTCAGCCTACTATTCAAGGCCCGATTTGCCTAATAAGCCAAGTTTTCATGAATTAATGTTTTTTCGTCTACCTAACCTACCTAACCTAACCTAACCTAGCTTTTTTTGGCTACCTAACCTAACCTTACCTATAAATATAGGTTAGGTTAGGTTAGGTAGGGTTGGTTAGGTTCGGTCATATATCTACGTTAATTTTAACTCCAATAAAATAAAATTGACTTCATACATAGAGAAAAGGGTTGCTTTATCATTTCATAAGAAAATAATTATAGTAAATATATTAATTCAGGAAAACTTGGCTTACTAGGCAAATCGGGCCTTGAATAGTAGGCTGATAAGTGAGTTCTGGCTACTAGGTACGACATATATATATATATATATATATATATATATATATATATATATATATATGTATATATATATATATGATGTATATGACAAAGAATGAGATCAATGATTCTAGCACGAATCTTCTCTATTTTTCATATGTTTTTCTTCACTTAAAAGGGAAGTTAAAAAATTGACTGTCCAAAGTTCACGTTACAATTTTATTATGGCTTGATGCTAAGAGAAGCATGTCATTGACCCTTGTCAACATTATCAGAGGCAGAGTTTGAATGGTTATAAGTTTTGTGCTGCCGGGTATGGAGCCAGAGATGAGGCGAAGGTGAAGCACTTCATCTGTGACGTGAACTTGGGAGAGTAAAATTTTCAACTTTCTTCTCAACTGAAGGAAAATACATATGAACAATAAAGAATCATGCTAGATTCATTAATGTCACCCTTTGTCATATTATATATATAATATATGATTGAATACAATTATTATATAATTTTGACACACACACACGCATACACACACACACACAGGACCAAAGGCGGGATCAAAGAGCCAAAGCTCAACCTCCGCAAGCACAACTAGGGGAGTACATACACAAACACACACACAAATTTTCTGCTATAAACAACCGGCAGCTAAAAGGTGGGATACAAGAGTCATTGCTCGATCCTGAATGAATGCACAAATAGGCGAGTACATTCAGGACCACATGCTTTCTGGATGCCACTTATCCACGTATGCCTGTTTTCCTGTTTTGAGTTTGTCGAAATAAGTATGAAAAACTAGCGAGGCAGGTCGTCTGAATAAAATTGTGCAGTAAAGTTGAGGCGAGTGCCTGCCAGGCCTCGTTGGATTGAAGTGATGGGGAATGTGTGGTAGGAGATGGCTTCTTGATTGCCTAATTACAGTGTTAGCCACCACTCTAGTGGCTTCTAAACCATGTGATGTCACAGATTCATGGCCCATTGTTTTGAATTGTCACAAGACTGCCATGTTCATTCTGTGTTTTTTGTTGGATATAATAAAAATCTAGGAATATCCATGCACCATGTCAGCTCAAAATGCATCCATTGTGTCGGTGAAAGCTTCAACAAGCGGGATACAGAAAGGAAAGAAGTCAGTGATGACATTTCAGAAGTTAAACTACTGTAATTAAGGTGGAGAGTGCAATCTTTCAAAGTGTTGTATGCAAAGAATATGGTGTTAGCAAGCTTTCATATATTAATAAAGCTAAAGGTTCCATCTTTGACTATTCTTCTAGAAGTGAAAGTGATAAAGCCATTCATAATAGAAAAGCAGTAAGCAAAGTATGGTGCAGAGTGTTGATAATGCAGTGTGGCAGTGGTACAAGCAGAAGTGAGACCAAAAAGGCAGTGGCAGGCTGGCTGCTCGTGGAAAAAGCACACGAGTTTCACTAACCTATGAAAATTCCTGAGAAGTGAGCATACACTGATTTCAGTTCAGAAGCTTGAAAGCTTGAAAAGCTTGAAGCTTGAAAGCTTGGTTCAGAAGCTTGAAACTCTGCCATGGCATTAGTACTTTTAGAGTACTCGGTGAAAGATTTATCTGGTGACGTTACTGGTTCAGAACAACAGTTACATTTGAGGAGATGGTGCGGGAACAAAATTTATCGTTAGATCAGTTTTATAATGGGGACGAGACAGTTTTGTGCAGGCATGTTACCCACAGACACAATGGCTCCTAGTGATGAAGATGATCCTTCAGGTGGTTGTAAGCTGAACGGAGAATGTGCGTTGTGCTGTGCTAATGCAGCTGGCACTCATAAATTGAAAATTACTTGTGGTTTGTCTTACACCTTTGTTGCCATCTGTATTGTCATCCATATAGTGCCAGTTAGGCCCTGTGTCATCACCCAGCCCAACACCCATGTATTTTTTGTTTATAAAGTTTACACTACTCCCTCGCCCAGGTTATACCAATTATATTTTATTTTAGTTGTAGATTATGTGAAATCTGTGAATTAAAAAGGTATTTGGCACACAAACTTGTAAATAGGAAAAAAGTGGCGAACAATGGAACATCCAAGGTGAAGACAGGAGTCGTCTCGCATACCTCGGTGTCAGCAAAGTTGGCATTGTGTGTTGACGGCAGATAACATGACCATCGCACAACCTTTGACAGCTTCTCCACCCAGTAAAAAAAGGTACTTATTAATATATTTGTATGTTATTTCTTATATTTGTCATACAATTTAATAATTCTATAATGAAAGAAATATTTTTGGGAATTGTTTCATTTTTTACACGCAGGCAGGTATAACCATTTTACTGTAGCTGCATGTTGAGGGTTAAAGACAGGTTGGTGCCTCTCTGTGATATATAAATATCTGTCAAGAGGATAGATGTGTCTAGTAATATTTGTCAATTGGTGTAAAAACTTTATACCAGAGGGGATGGGACACTATAAGTGTTGGCCTCCTACAAAACTGCAAAGCTGTGCTGCTTCTACGCAAGTGATGCATATGCATCCATGAGTCCACGAGGCGAGCTAATAAATGGCAATATCATTGGTACATTCTTACCACCTAATACAACCTTACTGATACAACCCATGGATCAAGAGAAAAATACGAACCTTAACACTACTATAAAAGGATGCTTGCTAGACATCTCAATAATCAGCCAGGAACAGTTAATGACTTTTTAAAGTTATAGTAATAAAGTCAACTATCTGGACTATTAGTGCATGATGTAAAGGTAACAACACTAAGAAAAGGGTCAAAGGAAATTTGGCCTGCATCAAGTTTGTTTCTCGAGGAAGATAACGAGGTAGATTTTGAAGGATTTGGGGCCAAGAAAGTTTTAAGAAAAAATTAAGAGAGGTGCTCCTAGTCAGCGGGATAAAGTTCCCAGAACTGAAAGCAGAACTGGTGGATGAAACACTAGATAAGGACTTGTAAGAAAATCTGCAGTTAACCACCTGCACCAGACTCATCAGATGATGACCCAAATCTGAGGTTACCTCATCACCATTAATCTCCACCTCAGCAAACACAATACCACCATCATTCACCACCTCTTCTATCTAAATAACAATGCTCCATCAACAATAATCAAGTCACCAAGCAGACCAAACCCTGCATATTTCCTATTAGTAAAAAGAAAATACAATTTTTGTCATAAAATTGTCAAGGTTTTCCACCTAGATTTTCTGAATGAACTACTTATTTGTATACGCTATTTGTCAAGTCTTAGTCCCAAGGCATCTGGAAAGCATACATATATAAATACAAAAATATATAAATATATATAAATAAATAAATAATTTGCGAACAAGCCTGAATGGTCCCCAGGACTATATGCAACTGAAAACTCACACCCCAGAAGTGACTCGAACCCATATTGCCAGGAGCAACGCAACTGGTATGTACAGGACACCTTAATCTACTCGACCATCATGACTGGACAATAAGGAAGTGATAGCCGAAGCTATTTGAAGCACCTCCCCAGCCGGCACTCGGATGGTAATCTTGGGCATAGTATTTTATCAAATCACCTCATTCTTTGGGGCACACGTGAGGAACACAAATGCGAACAAGCCTGAATGGTTCCCAGGACTATATGCAACTGAAAACTCACAATATAACACATATATATATATATATATATATATATATATATATATATATATATATATATATATATATATATATATATATATATATATATATATATATATATAATATAATATAATATAATATAAAAAATACGTGGTAATTATATTATATATATGCATATATATAGACACAAATTTTTGTAATTGATGTAAAACACCGGGATTGAATACAATTTGTACAGTACAGGTATGTTTCTTTGAAAACATCGAATAAGCATTGTATAATGATGTCAAATGATGCATGATGAAAATGGTTCACAACAACACTGCCTGCCATGACCTACTTAGGGCTAATACATTTTTACGAATCTGGGGCACGCTATTACCCCCTTGACAAAGCTAAAGGAGTGCAGTGCTACGCATATCCTATAGGTATACTGCTCAACAAACATTTCGTCCAGTTGTGTTACGACTTGTTCTACTTGTACTCTAAGGTGTTTTGGAAAGTCATAGGTTATGTTGTACAAATTTAATTATTTAGGAGATTTTATGTGCTTGACAAAGTTTGTAATTTATGTTTGCAAAACGTTTTGGGTTTTGTGGCGCCTCATTGGTCCTAAGGATGAAAGTTACACATATGTACATTTTATGTAGTAAAGTAAATTACTAAAAGTTGCTTTCATTTATTTTGTTGTTATATTTGTTAAGTCTTTCTTGTTTACTAATGAATCTTTGGATTTTGTGAAACTTTTAGATTTTACTTACACACTTATGTTGAAGAACTGTTCAAGGACGTCATAATTTACGATATTCAGTATGTATTGTTGACA